GGAAGGAAGGAAGGAAGGAAGGAAGGAAGGAAGGAAGGAAGGAAGGAAGGAAGGAAGGAAGGAAGGATTTGGTCAGCCCAATTCATCCCATCCCAACCCTTTTGCTTTATTGGCTAATAAGAATTAGTTGTCTTGTGAATTTGATATGAGTCCTACTTGAAACAGGCAATAAATAAGTGAACCATCTTTGGTTTGGACCCTCAATTTCTAAAAGCTTCTGATGGTTAACTATCTGGGTAGACTGGATGAGAAGAATACAGTCTTTCAACTAGCAGACCACTCAACTGAAATTTCAAGAGGGGCTGCCAGATTTTGCTCAATTGCAGTCACTACAAGGGGATTTGTAGCCTAGATCTGATTCAGTCATCAGTGAATACATTTGCCCACAGGTGTTGGGATAATTTTTTAAAAAATCACATCTTGTTTTATTAATTTTGTTTTATTTCACTCATTTTGCCTTTTCCTTTGTTAAGTAAATGAGTTTTTTGGATTATTGGTAGATATACGTATACATAGATCAGTCTGTATACTTCCTGTTAGTAGATCCTGTTAGTTGCCAATAGGATTTAATTATCAAATTGGATTGTGCATAAAATCACCACTAGACTGTCTCTCCACTCCCATGGTCCAGAAAATAGTGTGAAAATTAACCAACTCATTGAACATTTTATAATGCAGCTGGAACAGTGACGATAATCACAATTAGATCAAGATCATATGCAATGCTTTATTTTAATCTTGCTCATAGTGCTTGCCTGAATGCAAATTATACACTCCCCTCCTCTCCCCTGTTTAATGTGAAGCATATGAGATGCTGTTTTTGGTGCCTGGGGCTTTGTAGTCGCCTCTGATGCTGCAGCACAATTAGATAACAAAGCTTTGTGGCGCTGGACCATAGTCCTCGTCTGAATGCAATTTATTACCAGAAGGCTGTAATTTGGGGATAAATGCAGGCAGAGGAGGATCTAACAATAGAGGAGGAGCAAGAAAGCAAGGGAAAATAAACATTTAATGGAAAATTTGGCTGAAGGAAAATTTGGTCTGATGGTCCATCTTATTTGGACTTTCAGTGAATTCAGGTGGGCCCCATATGAATGAATCCAGGATTCACATGGTACCTTCTTCCCTCACTTGCTCTGGTTTGCCTTTTCATATCTAGTTTAATAGCAAGCTATTTACTGAAACTTTTCCTCCTTCCGTTCCTCTGATTTCAAAATGTCTAACTTCCTTTCCATTCAAAGGCTTCCAAGTCTTCTACAGATAATGCTACAGATGAAAATGAGATTTTTCATCCATCATGATGTTTCATTTTGATAGGCCATAGCATGCTGGATGTTAATTTAACATACTAAAGCACACTTATCGAAAAGTGAAAGGATCCATAGATGCTCCTGTGATGTCATGGATTTAAACTCAGCTCAATGAGAAGAGAAATGCTTTGATGGCACAGGTAGATCAACAATCAAATCAAGTACTTACAGGGAGAGTGGGTTGACCCTCACTGGAGTTCTTTGGCCAAAGATTGAGGAACAATGCACTATGGATGCTCCAACTCTGATTCTCCTGGGGAGACTCTATTCTATTATTTTTTGAACCGAATAATATTCTTTGAATAGATTGCATGTCTGCTAGTGGTCTGCAGTTCATTCTTGTTCTATTATTTAATGTTGCGTCCAAATCCAACCTGCTCTACACAGAATAAATTCCTCTCAGTTTTGTCCTTCTTCCTCCATGGCCATAATTTGCATCACCCCTCTCACTGACTAAATGCCCAGTGTCAGTTGCACATCCATGTCAGCCATGTGGCCAGTTCCTCAGCATCTTCAACAAAACAGGACTGTTGCAAAGAATAAGCAGGGGGAAAGCTAACCTTGATTTATGAAGTATCCAATATGCTCCTTAATCATTTCTAGATAATTCAAGATGCACATTTCTACAGTATCTTATGCAGTGTTCCTCAAACTTTCTCACTGATTACTAAATAAACATTCTGCTGACCACTGGTTGAAGAGGCAGAGGCTACTGCTGAGTGAGGGGCCCTGGCCAGATGATTGATGGTGAATGTGAGGAAGCTGTTGTGGGCTATCTACTGGACTCTGTGGACTACCAGTGGTTTGTAGACCACTGATCAAAAGAGTCGCCTATTTTATGCCAAAGAAGACAAAGTTATTTTAGGAGGTATTTTCTTCTTTCTAACCTGCATACTTACTGCCTGTAGTTGTATGCTATGTCTGCAAATTCTTTTCTTCTGGCTCGGTAAATTGGATCTTTGAAACCCTGGAAACAGATAATGAAAAAGATTACTTTGTGAGTTTTAAAAAATGCAAGTACAATTTAAAGAAAACTGATATATTTCAAGTTGATTTAAAGCAAATCATGCTCCAAAAGGGAGGGGGTGAATGGTCAAAACCCACAAAAAGGTTCAAAGACCTGACCTAGGCACATTCAACACAAATATGCAATAGAGCAGCCCCTGTGAGAACACAGTTACTTCATATTGCTTTAAAAAATCTATACTGCTCTATCCCCCCCCCCCCCCCCC